GAAGCTGGTGATAGGGAACTCAAGGTTGAGTAAGGATATTGTTGATGTGTTGTGAGATTGTTAACCATTGTCATAGGGCAACATGTGTACTAACTGTAAAATGAGAAACTATTTTGTTCTGTAAGCCTTCATCTTAAGTGAGAATAGAAGCACAATTGGAAGAGCATAGTCAATGTCACTGAACTGTGCATGTAGAAATTTGTGAAATGGTGTATATTTGGCTATGTGTATTTTCACCAAAAAAAAAGGTTGAGAAGTTAAGAGGGTTGACATGTTGTGGGGTTGTTAACCAATGTCATAAAACAGTATGTGTACTATTGTTTCATGAGATACTATTTGTTCTGTAAGCCTTCACATGAAGTACAATCAATCAATCAATCAATCAAGAAATAAATAGATAAAAATTGGAAGTCTGATGACATTGATAAAGAAATCAGGGCAATTTACTATTTGAGTAACGAAAACCAGAAATAAGAACTCCTTTTTTTAATTTAATTTTTTAAATTTAACTTTACTTTTTTTCTTTTGGTGTATAGCTCTATGAATTTTATTACAAGCAATAGATTCGTGTAACTACCACCACAATCACAATACAGAACAGCTCAATCATTCCCCGAAACTCCCTACTGCTATCCCTTTACATTAACTTTCCTGCTATCCCTAATGCCTGGCACCTACTGTTTCCATCATTACAGTTTTGTCTTTTCAAGTATGTCAAACAAATGGAATCATACAGTATACAACCATTTGACACTGGCTTATCTCACTCACTTTGAGATTCACCTGAAGTGTCCATTCCTTTTTACTGCTGAGTAGTAATCCATTGTAAACTGTTGGTTTATCCATTCACATGCTAAAGGACACTTGAGTTGTTTCCAGCTTCGGATATCACAAATAAAGCTGCTATGACATTCATGTACTGGCTTTTGTTTGAACATAACTTTTACCTTCTCTAGGGTAAATAGCCAGGAAAGAAACTGTTGGGTCATATGGGAAGTATACGTTTAACTTTGTAAGAAATTGCCAAACCAAGTGGCTATACCATTTTACTTTCCCATCAGCAATGTATAAGAGTTCCAGTTGTTCCACATCCTTGCCAATACTTGGTAGTACCAGTAATTTTTTATTTTAGCCATTCTAACAGGTGGTGTCTTGTTTTAATTTGCATTTCCCTAATGCTTAATGATGTTCCTGTGCTTATTTGCTTAACTTATATCCTCTGTGGCAGTGTCTATTTAAGTCTGATGCCCACTGTAAAAACTGAGTTGTTTTCTTATTGTTGAACTTAAAGGGTTCTTTTTATATTGTGGATACAAGTCCTTTGTTGGTTATATTCTACAAGTCTGTAACTTTTCTCTTCATTTTCTTGTCAGTAGCCTTGGCAGAGAAAAGTTTGTAATTCTGATGAAGTCCAATTTATCAATTGTTTTCTTTTATGGATCATGCTTTTGGTGTCATTTCCAAGAACTCTTCGCCTAAAGATTCTCATATGTTTTCTTCTAAATGTTTTATAGTTTTACATTTTATATTTAGATCTATGATTGATCCATTTTGAGTTAATCTTTGTATAAAGTCTAAGGTTTAGGTGAAAATTCATTTTTTTGCACATAGATGACCAATTATTCCAATACAATTTGCTGAAATGCTACACTGCTTTTACATCTTTGTCAAAGATCAAATGGCCATATCTGTGTGGCTTTATATCTGTACTCTATTCTGTTCCATTGACCTGTATCTCTTTGCCAATACCACAGTGTCTTGATTTCTGTAGCTTTATCGTTACGTCTTAAAAATGGATCAGGTGATTCCTCCAACTTCAGAACTGCCTTATTTTAAAAGGTTTATTTCAATAAGCACTTAAGTCACCTACCTGAATCGAATGTGCTTCACCCGAGATAGCACAGTAAGACAGAGCCACCAAGTCTGCACTCCAGTGGAGATCACTAGGTGGCAGCTGAAGTTCTTTACACAGAGATAACTGTAGAACAAACACAAACAGAAAATCTTTCACATGAAATCCAATTTTTCAAATATGCATCTGACTCTATTTCCTTTCTCTGAATATTTTAGGTCTGATTCATTGTTGGAAATTCCATTCTATATTCTTTCTTCTCACATCTCTTTTTGATCAGGTTTTCATCATGGCTTTCAGTAAGTTAAAAACAAAGTATCTTATACCCATTGCCATCAAGTTGATTCTGATTCATAGCAACCCAATACGACAGAGTAGAACTGCCCCCATAGGGTTTCCAAGGAGCAGCTGGTGAATTTGAACTGCCAACCTTTTGGTTAGTAGCCATAGCTCTTAACCACTGCACCACCAGGGCTCCAAAGAATCTTAAGGGATATAAAATCAAGAACATTTAACCACTAGACTAGACACTGAATATCAACTAGTATAGTTTCTTCCCAAGCTACAGAAATGTACTGGTTAAGAGAAGTGCTTAGGCGTCCTCTGGAACTTTTCCATTCTAGTCTTGATTTGTTATTTGACATTTAAAATCAGCATGACTACAGATTAATTGTACTGAATTTCCTAGACTCTCAGCAGATTCCCTCGGTCAACTCAGCAAGTCCCCCAGGACTTTTCCCTCACCTATTCCTCCTAACTACAAATACTATTTTCCAGGCAGTGGCAGCACAGAGCCAGAAGACTTGAGCAGTTTAGGCAAGCAGGAGCCCCTGAGTTCCCATGGAACAATGGCCCAGTGAGTAATAAGTCATACAAGAAAGTATGTCTAAGCTGTAACAAACAGAAAAAAAGTTACTAAGGATAAGTTACTAGACAGACAAGATAACACCTCTGTTAGAAATTAAAAACTGAAAGTTAAACTAGCAGTTAGTATTATTTTCTTATTTTATTAAGCATCATTCACTAGATTCAGGAAATATAGCCTATCGTCTTAGAAATAAGTTCATTAGCTTATTTGGAGAGCATTTCATCTTAGACTTCATTAGGCACACCAATTAGCGTGACTTCACTAAAAATTCAAACGTTTCTAATTTTATTAAATGTAAATGACATGGATCTTGTTTTAAAAAACTATTAAAGAGGAGCAACTTTTTTCCAATACATAAATGTGTGTGCATGCTCAGTATTTCATATCACTATGAAAATGCAAATCCATAATGTTTGTGTAGATTCAGATTATTATCCTCCATCAATCCTAAAAAATTCAGACAAAATCAAGAAACAGTTGGTATCCCTCTCCTCTATTTTCTTCTAGCTCTCTAAAGAGCCATTACCTTAGTAATGGGTGAGGGACCAATCTTCCAAATAATGAGTTTCTCTTTGCAGACCAGACAAGCCCATCCGCTTTCATCTATGTGAACAGTCAGCTGATCATCAACTAAAGAAAAAAATAAAGTGTACAATTAATCTTAAAGAATGCATATGAAAAACTGTCAAAATTTCCTTACACCAAAATCTTTATTGTCACATGCTTCAACAGAAAAAGTAATTAACACACACCAAAAAAGGTAATCCACGAAAGAATATAAGAAATTCAAGAAATTATTAACATTAAAAACAAAAGATCCTCCTGGTGGTGCAATGGTTAAATGCTTGGCTGCTAAACAAAAAAAGTCAGAGGTTCAAACCCACCCAGCAGCTCTGAGGGAGAAAAGACCTGTCAATATGCTCCTGTAAAGATTACAGCCTAGGAAACCCTATGGGGCAGTACTACTCGACAGCACAAAACAGCAACAACCACCACCACCTTTAGAACTGAATGTAAAAGCAAAAGTGTATTTTGGGCCTAACAGTTGTTATAAACAGACATCTTACTTTCTGTAAGTAAACATTTAGTAATCTTCATAATTTTATTTTGATAAAGCAACACAGATAATAAACCCTTCAGCAACTATATAAACCATTTATAGAAAAAATCATGTTCCTTCAAAAGAACGTGATTTTGAAGTAAGACTGCTAAAATTAAGATATATTACTTCATTATATAAAGACATAAAGGGTTACATTCTCTATTAAGTGATAAAACTAAATTGACATATTGCAGTATCTTACACACTGGTGGTAAGCGTCTGTAAACTTGTTAGTAATACTGGATATTTAATTTATTTGAGCTTTGCTCTGTGCTTAAAGGCAGCGTTGAGGGACAAAATACAAGGCACTAATAAGGTATAAGATAAAATATCAAATCATGTCTAGGCTAAGTGTGGGCTTTTTTCCTAAATTGGAGTATCTGTTTAATATATTCTTTTCCTGAAAGCACCACAGTAGCTCAAGCTTCTCTACTGATGAGCCTTTTTGGACCCTGACTTAACACAGTCCTTGGTAGGCTTTCACATGGAGAAGAGTTCAAGTTTACACACCTTTTCAGTTTACACACCCTGATTTCTAGGGACTTTCCCTCTAAGCTCTACATTTGAGGCTGTGTATTATTTGTTATTAACACAGGCTGGTGGCATGAACCAGAAGGAGTATGATAAAAGGTTTAAATGCAAAACACATCCTAACTAGAAAGGAAGAAGTAAAACTGTCTTATTCGCAGATGACACAATCCTATATGTAGAAAATGCGAAAGAATCCACTAGACCTAATAAACGAATGCAGCAAAGCTGGTAGGGTACAAGATCAACATGCAAAAATAAGTTGTGTTTCTATATCCCAGTAATGAACAATCTGAAAAGAAAATTAAGAGAATAATTCCATTTATAATAGCATCTAAAAGAACAAAATACTTAGGAATAAATTTAACCAAGGAGGTGAAAGACATGCAGGCTAAAACCTACAAAATATTGCTGAAAGAAATTAAAGAAGACTTAAACAGAAAGACATTTCGTGCTTAGGAATTGGAAGATTTAGTATTAAGATGTTAATAGCACCCAAAGTGATCTAAAGATTCAATGTAATTCTCATCAAAATTCCAAAAGCTTGTTTTGCAGAAATGGAAAAGTCAATCGTCAAATTCATATGGAATTGCAATAGCAAAAGCAATCTTGAAAAAAAAAAAAAACGAAGTTTGAGGACTCACACTTGGCAATTTCAAAACTTAAAAGCTCCAGTAATCAAAAGAGTGTGGTAGTGACATAAGTATAGACATATAAAACCAAAACCAAACTTGTTGCTGTTGAGTCAATTCCGACTCACAGCGATCTATAGGACAGAGTAGAACTGTCCCACAGGGCATCCAAGGAGCAGCTGGTGGATTCAAAACGCTGACCTTTTGGTTAGCAGCCAAACTCTTAAGCACTGTCCCAACCAGAGCACCACAGACATATAGACCAATGGAATAAAATTGAGAGTACAGAAATAAACCCGTACATCTATGGTCACAAGATTCCGACAAGACTGTCAAGTCCATTTAATGGGAAAGTATAATTTCATCAACAAATGGTGTTTGGACAGCTGGATGTTCACATGCAGAAGAATGAAGCTGAACCCTCACCTTACACCACATACACAAATTAACTCAAAAGGGATCAATGAACTAAATATGAGAGTTAAAACCATATCGCTCTTAGAGTAAAACATAAGGGTAAATTTCAAGGACCTTATTTTTGGCAATGGAGTCTTAGATACGACACCAAAATCATGAACAACAAAAGAAAAGATAAACTGGACTTCACAAAAATTTAAAACTCTGTGCATCAAAGGACTCTATCAAGAAAGTGAAGAGACAACCTACAGAATGGAAGAAAATATTTGATAACCATATATCTGATCACGGTTTAATATCTCGAATATACAAAGAACTTCTACAACTCAACAACAAAAAGACAAACAACCCAACTAAAACATGGGCAAAGGACTTAAACATTTCTCCAAAGAAGATATACAAATAGCCAATAAGCACATGAAAAGATGCTCAAAATTATTAATTAAGAAAATACAAGTCAAAACCACAAGAGATATCACTTCACATACAATAGGGTGGCAGTTATCAGGAAAACAAAGTAACAAGTGTTGGCAAGGATGTGGAGAAACTGGAACCCTCTTGCATTGCTGGTGGGAATGTAAAATGGTGCAGCTAACGGAAAACAGTTTGCTGATTGTTCAAAAAGTTAAAGAATTACCATATGACCCAGCAATTTCATTCCTAGGTATATATCCAAAAGAAGTGAAAGCAGGGACTCAAACAAACACATGTATACCAGTGTTCATTACAGCATTAGTTACAATAGCAAAAAGTTGGAAACCACCCAACAGATGAACAGATAAACAAAATGCAGTATATATAAAATGCAATATTATTCAGCCATAAAGAGAAATGAGGTTCCTAGGCATGCTACAACATAGATGAACAACACAGATGAACCTTGAAAACATTAACCCATTGCCATCGAGTCAATTTCGACTCACAGCGACCCTATAGGGCTGACCCATAGGGTTTCCAAGGAGTGCCTGGTGGATTCCAACTGCTGACCTTCTGGTTAGCAGCCGAACTCTTAACTACTATGCCACCAGGATTCATGCTGTATAAAATAAACCAGACACTAATGGACAAAAATTGGACGATTCCACCTATATGAAATATCTAGAATAGACAAATGCATAAAGACAGAAAGTAGACAGAGAACATCTAGCTCAATCGCATAACATAGTTTATAAAGAAAATATTCTACATCCTACATTGGCGAGTAGCGTCTGCGGTCTTAAAAGCTTGTAAGTGGCCATCTAAGATACTCCACTGGTCTCACTCTGTCTGGAACAAAAGAGAATGAAGAAAACCAAAGACACAAGGGAAAGATTAGTCCGAAGGACTAAAGAACCACAATGACCACAGCCTCCACCAGACTGAGGCCAACATAACTAGATGGTGTCTGGCTACCACCACTGACTGCTCTGACAGGGATCACAATAGAGGGTCTGGCAGAGCTGGAGAAAAATGTAAAACAAAATTCTAACTTATATACACACACAAAAAAAGACGAGACTTACTGGTCTGACAAAGACTGGAGAAACCCCAAGAGTATGGCCTTCAGACACCCTTTAACTCAGTACTGAAGTCACTCCTGAGGTTCACCCTCCAGCCAAAGACTAGACAGGCCCATAAAACAAACAATAATATATGTAGCTCAACCATGTATACAAGACTAAATGGATACACCAGCCCAGAGGCAAGGACGATAAAGCAGGAGGGGACAGGAAAGCTGGACAAATGGAAATGGGGAACCCAAGGTCAAGAAGGGGAGAGTGCTGACATGTCGTGGGGTTGGCAACCAATCTTACAAAACAATATGCGTATTAATTGTTTAATGAGAAACTAATTTGCTCTGTAAATCTTCATCTAAAGCACAACTTAAAATAAATAAATAAAAATTTAAAAAGCTGTTGGGAAAAAACAAACAAACAAAAAAGACTAGAAAGTAGATTAGAGGCCCAACGAGGTGGAGGCTTCAGGCCCTGTTCGGCTCACCTTGGGATGTCATTAAACTCACACGCATTTCTTCCAAACATCCTCATTTCTTCCAAACATCCTCTCCGATGCCTCTTTCTTTCCTCCCTTCTCACCCTACAGCAATTTTGAGCTGTAGGGCCTCAGGCCACACAGGAGCTGGGAGCCGAGAACAGGTGACCACTGTCTCGGTGCTGCCTGCTCGTCTGCTGGGAGGCCATGGCCCCTGAAGAGGCGGGCCCTGCACTGGACGCAGTAAACCCACCTGCAGGAGTGAGCGACGGGCGTAGGGCAGCACTGGCCAGCAAGGCCCAGCTCCCCGAGGCCACCTAAAGACCCTCCTTGAGGGAGAGGATGTACCGCAGCTGTTGCTGCCATGCCCACCACCCTATCAATGCACAAAACAGTCAGATAGTAGATTTTTTTTTACTATTGTCGTAAATGTGAAATGTCCGATAATGAGATAGTCCACAAGTGAGAAGCAGGTGTATATATATTTTTAAACAGATGAAATGTGTGGCAGAAATTTAGTTGCCTGAAAACAACTGTCCTGAATCCTGAAGCCTCTGAGAACTTATAGGTAAAATGTGCAAGTTCAAACTGATGAGAAATATTCCTTCTTCTACAATGGAGTATCGTAAACTTGTCTGTCATTCACAGTATGAAACACGTTTTACATCATGATGCATTCACACACAATTTAAATAAAACTGAAACAAAAGTTACTTAAATTTACTATATGAAATGCACACTGATATTTTCCATTCTATTCTATTTCATTTTTTCAAAATGCTGGACACAAACTGCTAAGCTGATTTCAATCACAATCTGCAGTTTGAAAAACACTATTCCAGAAAATCACAAAGATCTAGAATTATTAAATCCTTCAAAACAATGACTTAGGCAAATGCTCTGAAGTTCACTCTTCCACTCACCCAATCCCCTACCCTTAATGTTGCCTTTCTGAACCTTATGTTCACTGGATCTTCCAAACTTCCACTTTAATTCTCTGCCAACAGAATCTTCGAAATGTATGCCACACTGGTACTATCATGGCTTTGTGTGAACAGACTCTGGGGTACATGTGATCTAACGGAGGTAGGACTTGATTTTACTGCATTATTAATCCAAAAATGTGTGGTACTCATTTGTTTTTAAACTTCATATACTCAATTAGCTTCTGAAGTCAAATTCAATTTTGGACATGCAGTATTTAAAACCATTAAAGACCTAATTTGATTGTTCTAGAATGAACTCATTCTCAGCTTCCGGGCAACATGGCGCTATAGTCAGAAGCACAATGCAGTCCCTCTGCAGCAAAGATCATAAAAACTAAGTCAAACAGAGTCACACGTCAATCCTGAAACCCTAACCATCAAATGAAGAGAAAAAACTCAGCAAAGCACCGAATGGAATAAGAAACTGACCAAGAACAGAGCACGAGGAAAGATACATGCAGAGATCCCCTATCAGCTACCGCAGCACAGATCCACCATCTTGGACTCCTATCAGAGATCAGCGAACAGGAGGTACAAGAAAGCAGCTTCACAGAGCTTTCAGCAGGAGACAGAACAACCGGTAACCCACAAGATAAGCTTTCCCACCCCACCACCCTTCTTCACCTCCACATAGCCTCCTCTGCTTCCTGCAGCCACAGTCTACTGGCCAGGAAGCACGAGCTTCCCCCCAGTGCCGCTTGGATTCCACCCACCCACACTGGCCAGCTCCCTGAGTGCCATTTGTTGGCTGCTGGTGTTGCTTTTTTCTGCTTCTTTAGATTTCTTCCTTACCTCTCACCACCTCCCCCGCCTTTCTCTCAAATACCTGGCTCCGTGTGCCATCTTTGCTTCTCCCTGAAAGGCTGGGAAACACCGCTTGACTGTGAAACTGCTTCCCGACTGGTGCCGCCATGCTGGTGGGACCCCTGGGGCTTTTTGGTTTGTTTGTTTGTTTGCTCTGATTTGTTCTGATATGATTTGCTTGTTTTCTTTTTCTTTTCTAGGCTTGGGAACCCCTTCTAGCCAGGCAGTACCATGTGGCTTGGAAGCTAGTCCCTTACCCTGCACAGATGCAAAAGGACATCCCTGGGGGCATTTCTTTTTTCTTTTTTTTTTGGTTGTTTGTTTTTGGGTTTTTTTTTTTTCATTTCTGTATTTAGTTTTCTTCTCTCTTATTCCCTTTTTGTCTTTCTTCATTTCCAGTTTGTCAATTTATTCATTTTTTTCTTTTACCCTTTTTCTTTTTTCATTTTTGTTTTCCCCCATTTCTCAGTCTCTCATCTCTCTACTCCAATAGCAAGCTCACTTAGCACTCTTTTTTGTTTGTGTGTACGTTTTTGGCTCCTATTCCTCTCTCCTCTCTCTCATCTTTCCCATACCTATCTTAGCTTCACACATCACAATCTACCCCCTCCTTCCTGCCTACCTGCACTGTGCGCTGAACATCACACTCCCAAGCAGCACAGGCACAACCTACTGGAACCTGCCCTGCACTGATTCCCTCCACAGTGTCACCCCTGGTAAATGCCACAAAAAACCTATCCCAGCAACTCGCCTTCAGCTGGATCTGCCCTGCTGTACCATACCTGAACGACTGACTCTGCCCATTGGAGAAGGAGGTGAAAAGTATCACACCCAGAGACAAGCAAACAACAGAGAACGCACAGCCCGCCTGCTCAGACATAACCAAATAAAACAAAAAAGCAAGATGAAACAAACAAATCTACAATCAATAAACAAGGAAAATAACCACTGAATGCCCTGAAGACAGCAGATAATATCAAAACATTTACAAAAACAGGACAGGATGGTTCCAGTAGGTGTCCAAAATAAAACACCAGATGACCTTCCAGTAGAAGACAAGGCACTAGACCTAACTGATAGGGAATTCAAATGTCTAATATTCAGAGCTATCCAAGAGTTGAAGCAAAAAACAGACAAAAATGAGGAAAAAATAGACAAATTCATGGAAAAGGCAGACAAATTCATGGAAAATACGCTAAAATAAATTCACAACTAGAAATCATACAAAAACAACAATTAGAAATCCAAAAGATAAACAACAAGATCTCAGAAATGGACAGTGTCATAGAAGGGCTGAGGAACAGGTTTGAAACAATGGAAGACAGGATCAGAGAAACTGAAGAAAAACACTTGGATACAACTCTGTTTGAGAAAAAATCAGAAAAAAGAATGAAGAAAAATGAAGAAACCCTGAGAATTATGTGGGATAGAATCAAAAGCAAAAATCTGCGACTGATTGGAATTCCAGAACAGGGGGAGAAAACAGAAAACACAGAGAGGATCATTAAAGAACTGCTAACAGAAAACTTCCCCCATATCATGAAAGATGAAAAGCTGGCCATCCAAGAAGCTCAACGAACCC